ATTATTATTATTTTGAAACGTGTATTTTGACATAGTCGTTTCCACCACAGTATTTACATGGAGAAGATAAGCCCCGCCCCCTCTCCAGCACGTTCTGTTTGAATGACAGGAGTAAACAGCTGACAGCCGCTGTGAAACTCCAGCGGTTAGAGCGATGAGAATGTCCGTTCGGCACCTCATGACGCATCTACTGAGTACCGGGCGGCTGTATATATATATATGGATGTATAATAAGAACGGCGGGAGAGTGTTGAGTACTGGCACGGTGCATGAGTACCGGAGTACCGCCAGCATGCCGGTACTGAGCAAGAAGTGCCGGTACTCCATGGGTCAGAACCAGAAGTGCCGGTACTGCGTACCGGTGAGTACCGGCCCAATTCCAGCACTGGCTGGAATTGGGCCGGTACTCACCGGTACCGGAAACGACTGTCAAAATACACGTTTCAAAATAATAATAATAATAATAATGCCGAAGTAACAACATACTGAAAACTGTTAGTAAAACCATGTTTTAATGCTTTACAATTTACATACCTAGATGCACGTGTGTTGTGTTTATGCAGTGCAACTCCCACCCAGTGGGTGGCTATGTAGAGTGATAGAACAGAGCAGGCACGCCCCCGAGAGAAGGAAAGCAAGTCACGTCACAAATTAGCATTTCTAAAATGTTAGCGTGGATTAATAAAAGTGCAAAAAGACAGCGGTTGTCGCCGGAAGAAAACTTCAAATACAGAGAATGCTGTGCCTGTGTTGGAAATTGTGTCTGATGGGGAGCTTTCTTTGGTTGATCCTCCTGCTCCAAGTTCTAGTGCATTAGCATTAGCACTAGCTCCGCCGCCTCCTCCAGAGCCTCTAACGTTAGCTGCTGCTGGCGCAACTGCCACCACCAACACCGGGCAAAGCGATGCACCTGACTGCTGGACAACGGACCAGGTGCAATATTTTTGCAAGACCAATGCATGGCTCCTTCTTAAAGATAAGAAGCTAGGATGTCGGATATGCAGAGATGTCAAATCTTTGGGAATACACACTGGACAAGGACTGAAACTGTCAACTGAATGGGGTGAGTGCAGTGTCTCATTTCGGTGTTGACAAGGGCAAACAACAAGCTAGCCTGAGAAAAAAAATCAAAGAACATAAAGAATCACAAGCCCATGTAAAAGCTGCTGACATCCTTACATCTGCTTCACGTGAAACTATTCAACATCAAGTGCAGTCTATGCATAAATCTGAATTAGACACCACTATCAGAGTTTTTCGAACGGCATATAAAATTGGCAAACATAGCCGGCCATTCACAGACATGCCAATTGATTTGAATGTACAGAAACTGAATGGGCTGAACGTGGGCAGGGTTTTGCACTCCAATAAAACCTGTGGCGAAATCATCGACCACATAGCTCATGAGCTGAAGAAAAAAATGGCAAAAGACATTACAGAAAACCAAAGAAAACTCTGTGTTTTGGTCGATGAATCTACCACTATTAGTGGTAAAACGGTGCTTGTTGTGTGTCTACGCTCAGCATTAGCTGATGCTGAGCCCGAAACGTTTTTTTGGGAGCTGATCGAGTTGGATGGAACAACGGCTGATGACATCACAAAGGCGTTAATGGAGTGTCTTGGAAGAGATTTTAACGAGGACTTTTTAGGTCAGTGTTTCGTTTCTTTTGCATGTGATGGGGCTTCAGTCATGCTAGGGAAGAGAACAGGCGTTGCTACCCAGTTGTGTAGTAAATTCCCAAGCCTGTTTGTGTGGCACTGCTCCAATCATCGTCTAGAGCTGGCAGTTGGGGATGTGGTCAAGGAGGTCTCAGGGCTCAATCATTTCCAGATCTTTTTTGACAAACTCTATTCCTTGTTCCATGCCTCCCCCAAAAATCAGAGGCAGTTAGCGCAGTGTGCGCAAGCAGTCGGACAGCGTCTCCTGGTGATAGGGCGTGTTTTGTCCATCCGCTGGGTGGCTTCAAGTGAAAGGAGCGTCAGAGCAGTCTGGGAAAACTACCGAGTGCTTCATGATCACTTCACAAATGCTGCAAACGACACGAGCAGGGATTCCAGAGACAGAGCAAAGTACAAGGGCCTGGATGATGTGCTCACATCTGCAACGTTTGTCAGCAATCTGGGACTGATGTACGATGCGCTCACAGAGCTCAGCGACCTCTCTCGGCAACTCCAAAAAGAGAGATGACACTGCCTACAGCAGATAGGCTCTTAACTCGAGAAATACGAGTTTTTGAATCCATGGTCACCATGCCTGGCCCACACATGACTACAGTTCATACAGCTCTAGCTGAGAAGTCCTTCAAGGGTGTTGCCCTGCGTGAGAATGGCAGGCTTGTACAGATTCATGCAGGTCAGTTTTTCCGCAGTATGGTAGAGAATCTGAGACACAGAATGACTTCCACAACCTCCTCTCATGTCAGCACAAGAGAAATCCCATTACATGGCCGGGAGGCCCGGGACAATCAGCTAATCCAGGACATGAAAGTTATCCATCCTGGAAGTTGGCCTGAAGAGGAGTTAGACGTACAGTATGGGGACGTAGAGGTGCTACGTTTGTGCGAAGTGCTGAAAGTGGACAGAAGAGAGACTGTTCAGGGCTTTCGTGAATACAAGGAAACCAGGGCATCCCGTACACCTGCTGCCATGGAGCCTCTACTGAAAGCAGTCCGAACCATCGCTGTCTCCATTAGTGAGTGTGAGCGGGCATTCAGCTGCATGAACGATATCCTTACTGCAAAAAGGAATGCTCTCTCTGTCAGCCGACTGTTCAGCCTGGTTTTCATTAAATGTAATGGACCATCACTAGGACAGTTCAATCCGGAACAGTATGTGAGGTCCTGGCTGGCAAAGGGAAGGAGAAGTGCTGATGAAAGAGCCTGTCCAGCTCCAGCCCCTGATACTGATGTCCCCAAGGCCTTCTGGAGCCTTTTCTAACAATGTGAAGTATATTGCAAAGCAGCTCACCCAGTGAGAAGACTTTTGGCATAATGTGCCGATTTGTACAGATCCTGGAGATAGAAGGACTTCAGACCAACCAGGGAGTTATCTGATCAGCTTGGTGTTCAATGTAACTCTTTACCATGGCTCAGACTTTGTTACTTGCAGTTACAGTTTCTCATTTTAGATTGTGCAAATTTTGCATTGTTTTTACATGTTCTTTGTTCATGCTCTTTATCATTTTTCTGAGTTGGAAAGTTAGATTGCATCATAGTTTACTTTATACATATTTGTATTCTTCAGTGGTGAAGTATATTGCAAAGCAGCTCAGCCATGTGAGAAGACTTTTGGCACTTTTTCGTTTTTCGTTTTCTGAGTTGGAAAGTTAGATTGCATTCAAAATGTACAGAAATACTTAATTTTGTTAAAGCTTTTTATAAAAAATGCTTCTGACCAGAGCTTTGTTTCCTTGTCATTAATGTTGAACACCACCAGAGGGGCTCTCACCTGAAAGGTCTCTGCTTCATGTGTCTTCAGCAGAAGATCTAGACTTTGATTGCTATATTTTCAGTTAATATTGACCTTACTGAGCTTTAGCCATATCCGCTGCCTATCATAAAAAATGTTAAGTACAGTGAACCTTTCTAAAATATACAGTAGTAAAGAGACAAACCCACCAGCATTATAGTAGCCAAATTCTTGTTTGTGGGCTGTATATATAAAATTGACTTGAAAAAGTTGCTGATTTTAGAGTACTGGCACCTTTTTCATTCCAATTCAAGCACTGGGGGTGAGGTGAGGCACAGATGAGCTCTGCCTCACCTCAAAATGCGTCACCCCACAGAAACTGGCTGGAAAGCGGGCCCTAAGCGCATGCCTGCACCATCTCACTGTATGTCACCAATGTAATGTTTGTAGATCCCTTTATTACATTTATCCTCGCCATCCATAGTCTCTAAATAACTTATTTCACGTATATATGATATTTAGGCTCGCTGGTCTCATCATACAACGGCAATGAAAAAAGCAGCAGGGGAGGCAGCCATAACCTCTGCCGCACTGAAGGGGGCGCAAGTGAGCCCACAGGTTCTTGTTGCTACTGTTATTCTATGCAGACGCAAACAACAAGCTAGACTTTTGAAACTAGAGGAAGATAAGGAGGACTTTTACAAAAAAGTAATAGAGATTGTTGTCCAGAAGGATAGCATGGACTTCAACCTCAAGTCAAGGTAAGACCACAATTGTAATGCAAATGGAATCTTACTAAGAAAGAACAATCCAATATTTAGATTGTGGGTATCCTTTTGTTGAACGGTCTGTTTAAAATTAACTAAAGACTAAAAAAGCTTTTGAAAATAACCGAATATTTCGATTAAGGTCAAAATATAATATTTGTAAATCTGACTCTGAAAGAGTCAGTGCCTCACCATCCATGAACCTCACCGCACGTCACTGGTGTGTATGTATATACATGTGTGTATACCAGCATGCTGCAGTCCAGTTTGGTGTGGGAGGCCACGCCCCTTTGTGTGGGGATGTTGATTAGCAACACAGATAAAAACCAGGGCCATCATTACATTACATTTCACTTGTTAGACGCTTTTATCCAAAGCGACTTACATACATTCAATACTGTGGACAATCCCCACAGGAGCAATTTGGGGTGAAGTGTCTTCCCCAGGGACACAACGACATGCTGACTGCAGTGGGACTCGAACTTGCTATCCCCTGATTCAAAGTTCAGCGCACTAAATTCAGCGCCCAAATCTCACTGAGCCACAGCCTCCCCATCAGAGGATACAGCCCTCTGCTACGGCCAAATGCCACATCTTGTGTTATGTTAACTAAAACAATAAATATGTGTGTGCAGGCTCCATGATTCAGATTCAGATGTGTTGTTCCTTTGGCCCATGATACACCCTTCTATAGTGTCATGGTAATTGGGCCTGCAGTTTCCCCCTGACACTTCAGACTCAGGAACCCTCCTACCTTCTCAGAGGTATTTGGATGCTTCCGACATGATCATTGTTGACTTCTGAAATCGACGCCTCCTCACTCACCGCTCTCCTTCGCTTTGTGCACCTCCTCAGCCAGCGTGGCCTGCAGCTCCGTCTGATTGGCTCGCAGGCAGCGGTTCATCTCCTGCTCCTCCATCAGCTCCTGGCTCAGCTTCACCACCCGGCTGTTCAGCTGAGAGCACCTGAGCAGGCAGACACAGAATCAGCTGCACGTTCTCTACACAAACGTCTCAAGAGTTGTTTTTAAACAATGGTTCATTCTTTTAGCTTGGCCATTATTTTTCTTGGTCTTGCTATAGTTTTTATTTAATCTAACCACAGGCCTTTTTATTTGTCAAAACAGTAAAACCACTAATGGAAGTCATATGTTTATGATTCCCTGGAAATGACGCATGCTTGTTCAGTTTTGACATGTCGAACTGTCTCTCCCCGGGGGGGAAACTGCTGCACTTGTGCTCAGAAATACATAATTATTACAGGTTATACGACCTTGATTCTATTTCCCAACCAGACTCCACGTTAAGCGCAATGAAACAAAGTGCTGAGTCAGGCTTTACTTACTTTTTATCGATGCTCTGCTTCTCTTTGCCCATTTCTCCAAAGCGTCGCTCTAAGTTATCGCAACGCTCCAGGGTCTCCTTAAATTTAACCTTCATGTTGGTTATCTGAAAGACACAGAGTGATCAGAAATGGACAGATCTCAGCAATATAACAGCATTAAACCTTTTCAGAGCCTGTCCGTACCTCCTCTGTTGTCTCCTTCTCCAGATGAACGATCTTATTCTCCCAGTAGATCCTCTGAGACTCCAGTTGACTCGTCAGCAGGTACGAGTACTGCAGACACAGAGGACGAGTTAGAACCTTTCTGTGCTCATTAAGCAAACAAGCAACACAAACAATATGTGTACCTCTAGTTGAAGGGCATCAATCTTCTCAGCGTGGCAGGTGTCTCCCTCACACTCGTACTGCACCATCTTCCCGTCTGTCTTACTGGCCACCAGCCGATGCACGTAGTTATCTAAAACCACAAAGGTCCCCACAGGAAGTGAGGTAAAGTAGCAAAATCTACAAACATCAATTTAATCAAGTAAAATGTTTGATATCATTGTAAACCAATTCGCTTTGCAATCTGAGTACATCACATTTTGCTTTTGGAAATTAGAATGGTAATTTGTCACTTATTAAAGACTTTTTATAGACATATTTTAAAAGGAAAAAAATAATCAATTGTCCAAAAGAAAACACCCTGCCATCTGGAAGTTATGTTATACCAACGATTGAAGTGAAAAATTATGTTAAAAGTAAAAGAATGTGTTCAGGACAAGTCCGAGTACTTTTTAACCATCGCATTTCTACTTTTAATTAAGTAAACAATCAGAGCACTTCTTCCACCATGGCATACTCCCCATGAGAACATTATAAAGTTATGACTAACAGGGAATGTCCCTCAACTTGTTTTAGAATAATGCTGAACTCTAGTGGTCAATATGTATTAAAGCAGCTCTGATAGACATACAAGATTGAATCCAGTAGTTTACTATGACCACACTCAAGAAGCAACATGAGCCAAATTCAGAGACACACACACAAATCTATTACCTCCTGCGTAGTCCCAGACCCGGTGGTTGGTGAGCTGCATAGCGTAGGTATGCTGTGTTTCCTCAAAGTGCTTGTAAGCATGCATGCTGACGTAGCGACCGCAGCCAATGTGCCCGCAGATCAAACAAATCCACAGGTTCTACAGAGAAGAGAGAAATATGGGTTATAAAACGGGCGAATCAAAAACAAAACTGAAAGAAGATCCAATAGAAAGCTACAATATTCATATCAGTTACCTCCTGCACTCCACACTCAAAGCACTTGTTCTCTTCCACTGGTTCTGGTGTTTGACAGTACCTACACACAGGACACCTGGAAACAGAGCACACAGACATTCATCTATTGTGCACAGCAGTTCTTTGTGAAACATGAGAATACATGTAAAGAGGAGGACAAAAACCAACATCACATGACATGAAGCCTGGAGAAATAACCAGTGGACTAAGAATCAGGTGAGAGTGAGAGCATGTGATCCTAGTTCCTGTATTTACGGGGTTTTACATCAGTACTATAATTACACTAAATCCAATGAACTGTAGAATACACTCAGTAGGAGTGTAACCAACAACGATAAACCTAAAGCAGATGGACAGCAGCACTTTTGTCAAATTCCTTGTAGAAAAGGTAATATAATTTAAGGAACAGTGTGTTTTTGAGTGTGTGTGTGTGTGTGTGTGTGTGTGTGTGTGTCTATACAACTTACGAGGCATCTTCCCACCGCTGGAGACACTGGCTGTGAAAGCTGTGGTTGCAGAGAGTGGTGAGGATGCCGTTGACCGACTCGTCCATCCTCTCCAGGCACACGGTGCACTTAGGCAGCTCCGTCAGCTCCATCACTGGCAGACTGGCTCCCTGAGGAGAGGAGGGGGGGGGGGAGTCAGAGGACATGGGGGTGGAGGTTAGACAAAGGAAACTGCGGTATTTGGGATCAAGTATTTGTAGAATCGATTTCACACATTTCTTCCCATCATCAATTAAACGGCCTGCAGCTGTGTTAGTTACTATGGTTACAACAGACCAGAACTGTACCACCAGATAATACTGCGTGCATACAAGAAAGAGCTGCAACTAATTCTTATTTTCCCTATTGATTATTTTGAGGCTCACTTTCTCAATGAATCAATTTGTCTTGTTTTGGACGACCCATACTCAAAACTCCTAAAGATTTACAATAACAACAAAACTGATCAAATCCTCTCAGTGATTCATCGGTCTGCTTGAAAAAATACTTCAATTATCAAAATAGTTGCTGATTATTGTTTTTGCTTAATGTATTGTTCAAATGATTAATAGTTAGTGATAGTTTAGAGAATAAATGATGGGTATGTTTACCTCTTCAGACTTTATAACGTCGGCCCGCTCCACGTAGACCAGTTGGCACACTGCGTCCTCTATAGAGTTGAACTGTCGGCCATTACACGCTGTGTAAAAACTGTCTGCATCGGCCTGAAAAAAAGCAGCATTAAGTCAGATGTGTAAAGTCATAAATATAGATGTGCAAAACTTCCACATATTACAACGAGTCCAAAGTCTTAAGCAAACTAACAGTGTGTATGATTTATAAATAGACCATACATGTAAAGCTATTCATCAGACAACAGAAAGGTTACAGGGCTTGAAGAGTTATTATGGCTGACACTGAAAACCCAGCTGATCTTTAGGAAAACACGGGAAGAGAAACAAGATCCTCAAAAATATCTTTAATCATGATTATGCCGAGATGTTCTTACCTGTGTACAGAACTTAATCAGAACCATGTACTGGTTAGGGGTAGAGTCCCGTATGATCTTCATATGCTCCATGACGTCGTTATAAGGAGCTAAAAGCTTCATGAGGTCGTGGCTGGTCATGGTGGCGGGGACTGTCAGGATGCACACCATCGCACTGCGCCTCACATCCTCTCTCAGTGATGTCATTTTGCTGCAACAAGACACAAAACACTCAAGAAAGGGAAAGGGCTTTCTCATCTCCATGACAATTCAATTGCATTGCATTATCATCGCTGTTGGGGAATAATTCTCCTAGATATCCACCTTTTGCCCTTTGACGTTTATGACCAAACCTGACGTCTGTTATCTCCCTTAAGGAAAGGGGCTGCTTCAGCCATATGTTGTTGTTACCAGTTTATGACCGGGCAACTCTCGGTCACAAATGGTTTATTGTTGTGGGTACACTGGAACACTTCCTTCTTGGGGTTTGTGGACTCCAAGGTGGGAAATCTTCGAGGCCATAGGCGTCGGACGCAAGTGATTCAGTGTTCCCAGCTGTTTAGTCTATCTCCCCAAATATGTTTATTACTCTCTCTGAACTAGTTAAAAGGTCAATCGAGAGAGAGGCTTTTCAGAATTGACGTGGCAACTGTACCGTGAAGTCAGAACCTCTGTTTAGTGAATTCTCCGGCCGAAGCTCCTAAATAAACCATCAGTGTTTGACGTCAAAGCTCCAGCTCTCCCACTGCATTGCTACACAGAAGTTACCCCCACAATCGCTGCTTGCTAGTTTTATAATGTTTCATTGGAAGAGAGTCCCTCTACCTATATATAGGTAGTGATGTTACCGTGGAATTTGAAGAAGGTCATTTAGTAAGTGCGTTAATCAGATGTCATGACTTTTCAAGCATTCAGATTCCTGTATACTTGCGACGGAATAAACTCTTTACATATTGAGACTTTTTGTACTGTATATACTTTAGCTTTTCATACCTGTGATATGTATATTAAACATAATCACTAAACTACACTTTACTGCTTTTCTTGCACTTCTCAGTAGATGCTGACTGCATTTCGTTGTCCCAGTGCTTGTTCTAATCTAATTGAATCTAATCTAAATGATAAGGATGTCAGGTGTGACTCACTTTGTCTTGTAGAGGTGCATGATACCGTGGACGATCTCCACTGACGGGTTGCCGCTGAAGAAGGAGATCTGGTCCGGCAGCTGTTTGGAGGGGGAGTCAGGAGTGGCCCCCGTCGCCTTAGTGTCCTCAGAACCCTCAGAACCCTCCAGACTCTCTGCTTCAGCCTGAGCAGCCTTAGCTTCACTGTCCTGCTCCGCTGCACCGCTGGAGTCTTCTCCTCCTCCTTTATCTGGTGATGATTCAGTGGTTTGTAAACATTATTTCATGTTTTAAAAAAAGGTAAAGCTGCTGTTTATCTATATTTCAATGCTTTCTGACTTATCTAACCTGCCCGTGGCTCTCAGCTTAGAGCCCTACTTAAGATAACTTCAAAAACACCTCACAAATATATATGTTTATTTGAATACTATAGGGCTCTTTGTTGTCGTTTTTAGTAAGGCTTTGCTTTATTGAAAGATATTCAATTTACAGTGCAAATGCAATATGTATTACACATTAAACATTTGTACGTGAGAAAATAGATTCAAAAGAAAGAAAAAATATACATGTGAACAGATACACTAGCAAATGTACTTCAAAGTCTATTATATTTAGATTTTGACAACAATGGAGCTCTATGGGACAGAGAAAGAAGGTATATAAGGCTTTGATACACAGGTAATAGAAAGAATAGACTCTAATCCGATAATGTACTATGACTGGAACCAGCTAGATGTTATGATTAAGAGAACTCTGCTTACCTTGACTGGGTTCAAATGTTTCTATAACCATGTCCCCCATGGCTCTACTGCCGATGTGCTGTTGCAGTACAGCGGTTCTTTCCAGATCCGTCTTTCCACTCAGAGTGTGTTTGGCTACACCCAAAGCTTTCTCCTGCAGCTCCTTCTCTGACATGCCTTCTGTTGAAGATAAGAGAAACAGGACAGGGTTACTGTGAGCTCTAATAGAACAACTAGAACACAGTGTTAAAATATGTATTTAGATATTTTAGTGAAGCACTTGTACTTTGAGTAACTGATTGATTTCTTTACTTTCCATGCCCACACATTGCCATGATCAAACAGTTGATCAAACAATGCAATATTATGGACAGCAAAAGATTGAAAAATGGTCATCTGAAAAGTATCTAAAGCTTCTTGACCATTGAAATAAGAATATTTCCCTGTGAAATGTAGTGAAGTCAAAGTATGATGTAGCTAGCAGTTGATAAAAGGATATTCAGCCTCTATGTTGTCTCTCTCTTGTCACTGCTTGTTAGCTTCCTGGCTAACTTGACACAAAAACAATGACTTCAACGTTTAGCTATGTTATCAGTCACTTTACTCACCAGCTGAGTACTGGAAACCTTGTGGAGAAGGAGACTGGTCGGCTATTTCCAGACGGATTACTACCATAGACACACTCATGTGTAATAAAAGAAGTGGCCACTTTTACAAAGAACAATAACAAACCGGTGACAGCTCGCAAGCGAAACCTGCTACACGTCCAGCTAGCTAGATGACTGTCAAGCTAATTAGCTAACAGCTAAACACAAAGCCGTTTAAATGCAGTTAAAACAAAACGTCTTTAAGTCAAGTCAAAACATTACGTTAGTTATACTGCCTTTACCTTCGCCGAACGCAAACATTACATTAGTTTTATTAGCTCATACGCAGTAGCTGTCTAAAGACCTCAGCTAGCTTCTCTTTCTGTTTATGCACAGCTGGTAACATGCTGCTCTTCTTCGTGTATCAAATAAAACCAGCCGTAATGTGTTGCTGCCTCCTGCAGGGACTGAGTGTGTACTTCACCTGTACAGTGTACATTGCGAATGTGTCGTTTATTTTCAAAATATGAATTTTTTTTAATTTAAATTTCCAATTGTGTATATATACAATTTCAATTCACATCAACATTTGGATTGGTAAAGTTCACACCAAAGAAACAAATACAAAGAGATGAAGACAGTGCACAAGCAATTTCTCACATTAACTTTTTTTAATTAAAAAAGCTTTGACATTCCAGTGTTTCTGTTTTCCATTTTCTAACAAAAGAGGGTGGTGAGATGACACTCCGGATTGTCAACCATTTTTCAGAACCTCATCAACAACATGTAGTCCGATTACAAACATCTTCTCTCAAGTTGCGGATCCATTCAAACACATGGGGCTCGAGTGTAAAAGAAAAAAAGCCATTTACTAGCAGGCGTGTTTGTGATTGAATTTGGATACAAGACTAACGGGAAGGGGAGGATTCAACATGTACTCACTCTATCACATCACTCTGCCAAAGTCTTAAAGTACTAAAACAAATCCAACAAATAGACCTGCAGTCCACTGTCAGTGCTCCTGGGTTATATTTGTAAACTATGTCTCTCTTTATCTCCCATTGGTTAATAATATTAGCAGAAGATGCTTATTTTTCTGAGAAGATGCTGAAGCTGATGTAATGGTTTTTTGGGGGAAAGGTGTTGGGTGTCTTAAACAGGAATGACAACAAATGTTAACACAAGAGAAATCTTAGTATCTACTGCAGCTGATTTGAAAAAAACACACCAAAGTCCTTTCACACTTCACCCGAAAAAAAGGCTGCCTTAACTTTATATTTACAATTAGGTCCAATATGTGTCTGTCAAACACATCCGTCTGCATTTATGCAAGTTATGACAGTATGACAATTATACTGTTCTACAGAGCTGCAACTTGACTGAATATTACTATCTGTATTTTTCGATGTGGACAAAGTCCTCTTAATGTTCAGGGCTGGATCGCACTACAGCACACACTGAATGCCAGAAACATGCATTCTAGCTAATTATATTCATTTCTGCACTTTTCATTTTTCACTAAATCATGGATATCCATGAAGAGGTTGTACATATTTAACTTCTAGTGGTTGCATTTAGCTAGATATGCCATGCCTGCAGTGATACATCCTGGATGATGAGAATCATAAAGTGACCAATATTCATATAAAGATAAATGCATGTGGCCTCTTCTGTAATATTAACCAGACCAGTCTTAAAGGAGTGTGATTTGTTTTGTGCTGGAACAACCCAATTCCAAAGTAGACATGTTTAAAAGCACAACTTCTACTGGTATTACAAAAATAAAAAATTGAGGCTTTTAAAAAATGTAATTTAACTCATCCCACCATTTCTCTTTATAATACTGTAACTAGAGGTGGTTCCACTTTAAAGAAACACACAAAGCAAAAAGAAAGAAAAAAAAAACATATTTTGAATGGGAAACTTCCGTCTGTAGTAACCAGGTGTCCATATTTCAATAATGCGTGACAGTTCAATGCAACATTGTGCCTGCTAGTTCATGATGGAGAGAAACGGATGGGAAAGCAGCTCATTGAAGTAACTTTCCTCCTTAGTGTCTGTGTGTGTTTCTTTGATTGTTCTCACCAGAAAAACAAAGGGAAACATAACTGACAAACCGAGACAATAGTGGTTTATTGTGTCTTATATTCTCATTTAGTCAAGGAGGGTTGTGGTAGTTGCTCTTCACTATGTACAATAATTAATGAGATTATTTCATCTAAAACGGCTTATTTATTCTAATTTGCTCTACGTTTGTTTAAAAAAAAAAAGGTGTCCTTTTTTCCTCGTTTTCACTTATAATTGCTGTATAAATTACAAGCTAGTGTGCTATAAGAGTTGCAAATGCCCCAGAGATGTGTGCGTTGAAGAAATGGAAAAGTAAAATCCAGATTGAGAGTTCACAAACGATGAGTGGAGAAATATGCGAGGAGAGGAAGGAGGTCCGAGACGACTGTGTTGTGGGACTCCTATGTTAGCTGGTGAGACGGTGGTGTAGGGGGGGTTATGAGGGGGTGGGGGGTAAAGTCTTCTTTCTCTGGGTGGGTGTGATGGTGTTCAGATCTTGAGGTTCTTAATAGTTTCCGCTCTCTTCTTGAGCAGATCTCCCACTTCCTGTAGCGAGCGCAGGTAACTGCTCTGCACCTTGTCCATAGCAGCCTTCGCAAACGACACTTCCTCCTGAAACACAAACATTGAGGGTATATCAGAGAGCCATCAGCTCATTGTGGACTACATAACATTTCTTTCATTTAAGCAAGGATATCGGCTGATCATGCTTTCACATCCAATGTCCTTTCAAGGTGGCCAAGGGATGAAAAACATCAAGATCAAAGATGTTCCTTGTTGATCGTTATCATTTATCTGCAGCTTCTGCACACATTTTATTCTGGTATAGACTCTTAAAAGGTCCGCTATTATACTGTTTTTCATCAATATATTATAAGTCTCAGATATATACATGTCTCTGAAGTGTTTGGCTCCAAATACCAAACAGATCTTTGCAGCATCCCATAATCCCCTCTGTTTGAGCCCTGTTTCCAAAGTGCTGATTCTCTGTCTGTTACTTTAGATCAAAATAAGGAGCCCCTCCCCACGCCCCTCTGAGAGATATTTAGTTAAAAAGAACACAATAGCCGCGTTCATACCGTAGTACTTTTCCCACTTTAGTTCCGATAGTTCCGAAATGTCGCGTTTACACCAAAAAGAGCCGGAACTAAAATGAGTTCATCAGAACCCTTTTACACCCTTTTCCGTCCCTGCTAGAGAGCAGGGACTTTCGTGGGAGAAAAAGGTTTCTATTTCTGATTGGCTGGGCGGAATGCAAACTACACCCCGTAAAACTTCCAAAAAGTTTTGTGAAACCGCCATTCCCCAACTCCGGGGACTTCCGGCCGGGGACTTTGGGCGGCAGTATACGCCGTGAAGTTATTTGCGGCCTGCCAGTAAACCCAAAGCAGAAGAAGAAGAAGTGACGTCAGCGGCTTCATTTGCCTAATCCACCCCCAGGGACTTATTCCAGTGTGAACGCGATCTGTACTTAGTTCATGAGAACTAAAGAGTTCTCATGAACTAAGTTCTGATGCACCTTTGTGGGAAAAGTACTGCGGTGTGAATGCGCCTATAGGTGCTCTAGGAGGAGATTTAGGTGATAAGGTGGGGGTGGGTTACCTTGGTTGCCGATTGGCTAATAGTTACACAAGACAACAAATCGTTATGACATCACAAAGTGGCTAAAAGGTTTTTATATAAATGGATCACAAAAAGAGAGAGAATCTTTTTTCCTGAAACTTTCAGAATCTCTTTACACAGAGGGGAGACATGTTTATGCATAAAAGACATGAACAAGTGGATTTTGCATAATAGGTGACATTAAATATTATCAAGCACCGGACTCACAGGTTACATAATCCCTTGATTTTTTTTTTTTAAATATAGAAAAGTCAATTTAACAAACTGGACAGTGTCTTCCAAACCCTGACCCTTTATTACATTAAAACAGAATGAAAATATATTGTTGTTTGAATTGAAAACGCTCTCACGAGTCTCTTTTCCAAGTAGATTTTGTTAAATCCTGAATTGGGAAATTCTTGAGTTACAGAACCCGCAGGTTATAAAGGCATTGTACAACTAGCTAAAGGAGACGAATGAATCTCAATGTTTGTGGAACTGCACATTTGTATCGGTGAAGGCTTGTTTTAAAAAAAAAAGTTTAATGGTGTTTATTGAAATCCAGAGAAGGAAAATATAAACCTTGGTGTCTGCTCTCTCACCTCTGTGGGTCCTTCCAAGCTTAAACCGGACAGTTTAATGGCCGTGATTTCAGTCTCTTGGTTCTTTATATAGTCCAACGCCTGAGTGATCAGCTCCTGCACGCTTCCTGTCAGCTCCTGGAACCCACACACCACCGCCGGCTGCAACACACACAAATCATCAGCTTAGAATCACTTTTAAAGCCAACTACAGGATAATGAGTTACTAACATATTAGTTAATGAGGAAGATTTCAAGGTGAACCTGTACCAGAGCAGTGCTTGTATCCTTTTTCTTCTTCTTTTTCTTCTGTAGACTAGTCTTGAGTGGTCGGAGAATCTTGGCACAGTGACTAGCCATCCACAGGACTATGCACACCGTCTGTACAAAAAATGAACATGTTGAAAAATGAAATGCATCAGATCCAGTAGAAAGCAGGTAGGAAAAGTATGGAAGAAAAGATGTCTCACCTCAACAAAGAAGATAAGGTTTTCTAATAAGGAGGGTTGCGTTTTCAATTTGCTGTCTTTCATTTCCAATACATCCCCTTTGCATTTATTCAGTATTTCTGTGCGAAGAAAGAAGAATGAAGCACAACGGACAAATAATACACCTTTGCAATTTATTGAGCTGAAAACGTAGAAATTCAGCTGCTAACTCACCTTGAAGTTGAACTACTAATGATTTGAAACCATTACAGATCTGGGTTTGAAGCTCTGACGACTCATCTAAGAGAGGAAAAATAAATGGGGTTGTGAGAATGAAAGCATTCACCCAGCATTGATCTGCGTGATGTTACTGTCATCTCTTCTTACCAAGTCCAGCAGTCTCCAGGTTCTGCAGGTGGACAGACAGCTGGAGCGCTGCAGCCTGGCACTGACAACTCCCAGTGGACAGAGCAGCGGCCAGGCGGGTGGAGGGGGGGCCCAGGAATGGATACTGCAGTACAACAAGGCATCATTACAGCAATGAACTCACACAACTCTTACATTATGTAACCCAAATGTACTGCAAAGAGGTTCATTCTTCCACAACAAAAAGGTTGATAATGCAAAGATGTTCGTTTACAGACACATGTAACTTGAATTGTGCTCCGAGGTAGGATAAAGTTTTAAAAAGAGACAGAACAAAGATAAGAATGGTTTAAGCCACCAGGACAGCTAAT